TTTTACTGCAGATTCCATAGCCTGCAGCTTGTTTCTTTCAAGGTGTTTGCTGAAGCCTGCTTGCCAATGAACATCCAGGGAAACACTGGATATTATTAAAAAAATAAAAAATAAAAAAATCATGAAACCACCATTCTTCAGGTCCTTTGACTTCCACCCTTGGTATTTATATTTGCCAGTTTGCTTGTATATACTGTGGCTATTTTAAACCCTTTTCACCTTGTTATCACCTACAGGCATCCCTCCTTGCTTAGCTACACAACTCACTTGAGTTCTGCTTCTACACATACTATTACACTAACATGAGCAAGGAGACCTACAAGTTACGTGTTGTCATGAAAATGCATTTTCTTTCATTCAGCAACATAAGTGTAATATTCTAGAACTTCAGACCAAATGCCTTCCCTCCCCTCAATAACTAGCATATGTCATAGAGATAATAGAAGATCATGAGTGGTATAGAGGTGAATGAGATGGTTTAATTTTTCATAATACTGGAGTCTGAGAACATTAAGTAAAAATTACACAACAATTAAGACACAATTTATTGCAGACAAGTATTGAACAGAAAAAATTTACACAGACTCAAAACAGACAAAGTCACAAAAGAAAAGAAATCCATTCAAAGATTATTAAATAAATAAATAAATCCCACTTCTGGCTCAAGAAGACCTGAGCTGCAGATCACTGAATGGTGGCAAGAGTATCTGAGCAGATTATTCCTGTATGCATCACCTGCAGTCACCATCACACAGGGTCAGAAGCACCTTTGACTGGCACTTCATAGAATCGTAGACTGGTTTGGGCCAGAAGGGACCTTCAAAGACCATCTAGTTCCAACCCCTCTGCCATGGGCAGGGACACCTCCCACCAGACCAGGTTGCTCCCAGCCCCATCCAACCTGGCCTTGAGCACTGCCAGGGAGGGGGCAGCCACAGCTCCTCTGGGCAACCTATGCCAGTGCCTCACCACCCTCATAGTAAAGAATGTCTTCTTTATGTTCAATCTAAAGCTACTCTTTTTCAGTTTAAAACCACTGCCCCTTGTCCTGTGACTACAGGCAGGCCTCGGTAAAATGTCCTTCTTGTAAGTTCCCTTTGTATACGGAAGGGCTGCAATAAGGTGTCCCCAGAGCCTTCTCTTCTCCAGGCTGAACAAGCCAAATTCTCTGATCTTTTCTTCACAGGAGAGGTGTTCTAGTCCTCTGATCATTTTCATGACCCTCCTCTGGACCCACTCTAACAGGTCGATGTCTGTCTTCTACGGGGGATCCCAGAACTGAACATAGTACTACAGATGGGGTCTCACAAGAGTGGAGAAGAGGGAGAGAATCACACTCCTCCGCCTGCTGGCCTTGCTTCTTTTTATGCAGCCCAGGACACAATTGGCTTTCCGCTCTGTGAGCGCCCATTGCCGGCTCCAAGTCCTTCTCCAGAGGGCTGCTCTCAATCTATTCATCACCCAGTTCGCATTGATGCTGGAGATTGCCCAGACACAGGTGCAGGACCTTGCAGTTGGCCTTGCTGAACTTCATGAGCTTCACACTGGCCCACTTCTCAATCCTGCCAGGGTTCCTCTGGATGGTGGCATCCCTTCCCTCAAGCACATCAACTGCACCACTCCGCTTGGTGTCATGTGCAAACTTGCTGAGGGTATGCTCAATCCCACTATGTCATTAATAAAGATATTGAACAGTACTGGTCCCAGTACAGGCCCCTGAGGGACACCACTGATTACTGATCTCCATTTGCAGATTGAGCCATTGACAGCAATTCTTTGTGGCCACCCAGCCAACCCCTTATCCATCAAATAGTTCATCCATAAAACCCATGTCTCTCCAAGGCTATTGTGTGGGACGATGTCAAAGGCCTTACGTAAAGTCATGCTAGATTATAATCAGCTGCTCTTCCCTCACCTACCAGAGTCACTCCACCAGATTAATCAGGCATGATTTGCCCTTTGTGAAGCCATGTTGGCTGCCTCTAATCACCTCTGGCACCTATATGCCTTGACATACTTTCCTGGAGGATCTGTTCATGACCTTACCAGGCACAGAGGTGAGGCCGACTGGGTGGTAGTTCCCAGGGTCTTCATTTTTACCCTTTTTAAAAATGGGTGTGATGTTTCCTTTTTTCCCGTAACCATTCCCAAGTTACATGCACTTAATCTTATGTATAATTTTATTCCTGTTTAAAGAATTTGGTAGAATGTTTCAAACTCCTCCGCAAAGTTTGAACCAGAATGGTAGTAATACCTAATGTCTCCAGTCTTTGAACAGCAAGTGATAAACAAGTGACTGTCACACAAGAAGAGTTAATAAAGAAGGAAAGGGAAGAGAAAGCCTTGAAGACAGGCTGAAGGTGGATGCAGACAAATGAGAAAAGGCATGAGAAAGCAGAAAGAGACCTGGAGGTACTGACAAACTGCATAACTACTAACAGTAGTGCAATGAAAGTAGCTGGTCAAAGAGAAAAACGCCTTAGTAACTCACATTATTACAGAGTACAAAACAGAAGGGCAAGGTTCGTTACATTTTTAAAGTGCCCCAATAAGAACACTTGTATGGGACTTCATTGTCATTAATAACTGTTTTAGAGTCTACAGCACATCCCTGCAAAAGACTTAAATCCCTCCAGTTCCAGTATTGCCAGGCAACAGACTGTTCCACTGAACAGAAGTCATTCCTCCAGGTTATTTTGGTGGACAAACTCCAAATTCCCCATAATTCAGGCCATGTCACTACTCATCTTAAACAAAATGGCCCGAACTTGAGGTGATGGTATCTGATGACTTTTGCCTAAAGCAACTACAAAGCTTGGTCTAAGTATACATGAAATACAAGTAACATTTTTCACCATTTTTAAAACCAAAGTGTCTCATACACTTTTGTATGAGAAGCTTGGTCTAAGTATACATGAAATACAAGTAGCATTTTTCACCATTTTTAAAACCAAACACCATCACCACGTAACAAAATTACTTCAGGGTGTATAATTAAGGCAGACACAGGTCTGATATAATACTTTCCCCCCCCACCCCTCAAGAAACACGGAATTATTCTGCAAAGACATCATCACCACCACCACTAGATTCCCACTGTCAGCAAAAACAACAAACAAGTTCAGATAAAGCTTGTATTCAGAAAAAGCTTGTAACCTCTTCTGAAGGCTCCAGTGAAAGAAATCCTACCGGCAGAACACAAAACTTTTACAGAGAAGCCATTAATACCCAGCATTTCTTTACAGTTTAACTGGCCTGCTTTATCTCACCCCATATTCTTCAGCATCCACAAATGTTCACATTCCATGCTATTCCTAAAACAAATATACTCCAAGCTCAATGTGTTCAGGGACAAAAAAAAATTAGTCCACCAAAAGGAAATGGTTTTACGAACTATGTATTTTTCTTAGCATCATCTAGTACTAAAACCTTCCACACAGTCACTTATACTGTCAGCTAACACATCCAGACAAATAGAAAGGTCTGAAAATAAGCTTTGAAAAGGCAAAGGATACCTTATTTTAAGAAGGGGATGGGGGGATAGGAATCCTTTGAACTTGCATCTACAGCTCTCACAGCAGAAGCCTTGAATAAAGGCAAGGGAACTGTGTACCTGCTTGTCCCCAAGCTCATAGGGGCTAAATTCAGGCATTCACCACCTATTAACAATAAAGGCTCTCCCGTTCCGCAGGGAATCACGTATAACACAGCCCCAATTCATACAGCACAGAAGAAATGCAGTTTACTTTGTACAGAACTGGCTTAAAGGCCATGACAGGTACTGATCTCATAGCAAGGCAGGTATTTGTAGATCCCTGCGTGTTCAAGTAAACACAGTTGCTTTTACATAACCCATTGTTTGATTAGCTCTTAATTAAATAATTGTTTAAAGATCTGTTTTTAATGCTCAGATACTTAGTTTCTATCTTCTTATCCGGTTTTCTTCTGTACATTTAATTACTCTTTTGACTGACACTTTGTACATCTTCTCAGCAAAATTTCACAGAATCAGAGTGGTGTAGACTGGAAGGGACTTCTGAAGGTCAGGTGGTCCAACCACCCTGCTCAAGCAGTGCCACCTACAGCAGGTTGTCCAGGACCATGCCCAGACAACTTCTGAGTATCTCCAAAGATGGAGAGTCCACAACCTCTCTAGGTAACCTGTGTCAGTGCTTGGTCATTCTCACAATAAAAAAAAGTAATTTTCCTCTACATCACTGATCTTGAATGAGTTTTCCGTCAGGCTAGAAAGTGAAAAGATGTGAGAACTTCTCTGCTTTGCCCCGCTTTTTGACCACACACAACGTACAACCTGAAGTGTGATACTTACCGAGAGCAACATTTGAACTTTTAATGAAAATTACAACAAAAAAATCCAAACACATTTACTCATCTTGCTCGGTTTACAGTAGAGCTTACACAAATTGGGACCACAGGCTTCGAGTAACAAAGGTTATAAAGCAGAGCAAAATACAGTATTTATCTGAAGACTTTAACATTTTTCTTCCCAATGTAAAATTTGTCTCTTTTGGTATTTAGAATCTATTTGACCAAAAAAAAAAAACCACCAAAAAACCCCCCAACTTTCCCAAGACAGTTCTATAGCTTAACATTTCCACAATAATTTTAAGCTAAGAATTTGTTATTTGCAGTTAGAGTTCTATTGCTTCACTATTTCATCTACTGCAGAAAACCTAAGAAAAAAGGTACATAAATTACACCACTGTAGAAACAACTAGGAAACCCGATGTTCATAGAACAGAAATACAACACAAATAAATGAACAGTTATTTCAGCCAAATACTTACTGTGATTTATTTTTTTCCCCTGAAACTCAGTTCGCTTGATCAGTTAGGTTTGCCTGAAGGACAAAGTAACTTTTTTTTCCCCTAACAAAGTCAGAGCACCTGAATCAATGCATGGGATGAGTCCTTCACTCAGTCTTTTCCCTGACACTTTCTGGACATACAGCTCATTTCTAACACCTACTACTGCTCATTTGTAGCAAATGATCCACTTCTGGAGAGTTAATTAATGTACCAAGAGTTCACCCTGACAAGCTCAAGTACTGCAGAAAAAGAATGGAAATATCAGTCTGCAGATGTTGAGGTAACCGAGCGCTTTATTTTTATTTTTAGAAGGTTCCCTCTAACAATAATAGCATAAAACATTTCAAATATAAACCAGCAAATCTGACAAAGTTAATAGCCCTGATCAATACAGCTTATTCCTTATAAGCGGCAAGCAAACTTTAGACTTTAGCATGTTTGTAATTTTCTATTTCACAATCATTCTTTCCTTGAGTACTTAATATAGCATTAAGAACTGCACATCACACTCTTCACTCATTTCCGTGCTACCATGTCTCCCATTCTCAAGAGTGCGGCACCAGGAAATTTCACAGGAGAGGAACAGAGTTAGGTAAGAGAAGGAAATTATAACTAATCTCTCACATTCTCAAAGTTTGTTCTTTCTCCATAAACTCAAGCCTTGGGGAATGGGAAATAGTACCTTATATACAAAGGAATGGAGAAAAGGTCGCAGGATTCACTGCTGCTAGCATAAAATTAAAAGTGCTACAGCGTTACAGAAACAGCTGTAAGGCCTATCTGGAAGAAAAAAGAAGAACAAATGTGGAGGGGAATTCAACGGTCACAAAGCTTAAGTTTAGTTAACACACAAACCCTGTACGAGTAAGGCTTGGCTTATCCAGGACCAGATTTGTGACTCATTCCTCTTCTTTCATCCTCTGTTAAAATCTCAATCCCTTTATTTACCAGAAGACATCACATGCAATCAGAGATGCAGTCAAAGTAACCGAGCAAGAGGATACTCAGAATCTTTTGTTCTAATACCTGTTAGTGTGTACTAAACAGTTGCACACCATTAGTAAGCAGGAAAAAAAGGGCATACAGAAAGGTTCTTCCTGCCCCTCTAAATCTAGCTGTTCCCAAACCTGGCTTCCTATGAAGAGTTCCCTACCAAAGTAGGAACTTTGTCTGACAACAGTAGGCAACCAGCACCTTCCTATCAAGAAAAAAATTTTCCAAGGCAAACTGGGCTGCAAGATACAGCAGCAGCTGGTCAGCTCCAGCTCACTGAAACTTCTTTTTGAACCATTACAGCTAAACACAAGGTCAAGATTTTAATTTGATTACCCAGATTAACATTTCTGTAACACTCCTTAAGTAAGCCAGGGTTAGTGCATCCAACCTGGCTTTTAGCATTTCAACGGGCCATCAAGTGCCGAAGGATACCGAAACGGCAAATTTCTTTTTATTGAACTATGCTTAGTCTCCTCAAAAATGCTTCAATTAACGGGAACAATACTTTGTCCAGTTAAACATTTCTCATTTTAGCATATGATTATAAAAAAAAAAACAAAAACAAATTAAGAGTCAATAGGCTACCAACATTTGTTAATGCAGACTAGACAGTAGTTAAACATGGGTTTTTTCTCACAGTTTTATACTAAACAACTGTATAGTCAGGTTGCTGTTAAGACAAGAGTCTATTGTAATTACTACAATAGAAGACTTTTACTTGTATGAAATAAAACCAAGCTCATGTCAGCAGTTACCAAACTGGCAGAGAGAACCCCTAAATCAAGTTTTATCTGAAACGTTAAAAGTTTGGAAGTTTTACATATAGAGTTGCCCTTGTGGGACACTGCAGGCACCTGGCACAGGATTTACTTTAGAACTAAGCTCCACTACCCAGCCCAGAACCTTTTAATAGCTCCTTTCCCAACCATTAGACCAGCATAACCAAACAGGCATTTCATAATACATATCACAAGTTCATCAGCAAGTACTGAGGTACAGTTACCAGTTGTTTTTTATTTTTTTAAAAAGTCAAGTCACAGGAACTATGCTGTGCACAAGCACACCTTATTCCACTCAATCTCTTTGTAGAACTCAAACTTTTAAGGGAGCAACTCTAGGAGCTAGTGCAGAATACAATAAACAGTTCCACAGAAAAGTGTGCCATGACACAAGATATCCCAGTTCACATACTGTCACTTTTCTCATCCTACATCCCCCATGCAGAGATTAGGAATACTGCCTGGTTAGAAAAAACTTTTTGTTGTTCTTTTTTAAACATATCAAAGTCTAAACAGTAAAGTCTCACATTCACTCTCAAAGCCTACAAGTCTTCAATAAGATGGAGAACAGGATCATTTAAGGACAGCATATCAACTACAAACAGTTCCATTTAAATTGACACAACTGGTAATATTGGCTCAATCTTTAGGAGAGGTGTCAGCTATTTCAAAATCTGAATTTTAGTGCTAAGTATAAGCTGTTCCCTCACAGTTAAGGGTTTAACATTCACTACAGAAAAATCTTGAAAAAAGTACTAATTTAAAACTGTCTGGTATTCTTGCAATAATAGGAAAAAACCCAAACCACCAAACCAAACCCGAAATGTTGCCAGACCACTCACCTGCGACACTGGTAATGGTAACAGGAACTCCTTGAACTTGAACCCCTGCAGCACTCAGGTTGGCCACACTTACTGTTTGGAGGTTGGGTACCGAAGCAAGCTGGGCAGCGTTCAGAGTGATGGGGGTACCAGCAACAGCCACTGGTGCAATCTGGGCAATGGTTGTGCCACCGCTTGAAGACACGGGGGTAATGGTTAGCTGTTGGGGTAACCCGGCATTTTGAACTTGAAGATTTGAAAGGCTTTGCAGATTCTGAACCTGTACAGTTTGCCAGCTGATCTGCCCTGATGGTGTTAAAGTTGGAGCCCTGATGAGCACCTGAGTTGGACTCACTGCCTGCAGCTGAACGTTCTGCAAAGGCTGCTGCTGGATGGTCTGTATAGTCTGCCCCGACTGGAGCTGAAATGACTGCGGAGGAATGGCCTGAATGATCTGCTGTTGAGGCTGCTGGATCTGTATCTGCTGCAGAATAGGCTGCCCTACGATTTGGACCTGCTGAAGGGAACCCGCCTGATCCTGGACGTTCTGTAGTCCGTTGGACTGAAGCTGACTGGAGCTCTGGGCTTCAGAGTCGGTAGCAGCCGTTTGAGATTCTTCGGTCGCCTGCTCCGAACTGCTGCCTGCTGTGCTCGTGTATTGGCCTGTCTCTGCGGCGCTCACTAGCGTGTCACTGCTAGTCAGAGAGGTTGAGGCCGTGGTCGTAGCGGTGGAAGATGAGGAAGGAGACTCTGGCATTGTACTGACAGAGGCAGATGTGACAGGCGTCGACGCTAGCTGATTTCCATTGGAAACTCCACTCTCAGTAGACTGGCCCACTTGACCCGAACCTCCTCCAGCTGCCACACTGTTTATCACAGGCAACGCCAGGGTCACCCCCCCAATGTTTATAGGTAAGGTTGTCACAACTTGCGCCTGAGTACCAGGAATAGTTTGCAGTTGCAGTGGTATGGAAACACCAGGCCTAATTTGGACTGGAACTGTCTGATTTGCTAGGTTTTGAGCAATAACATTCCCCGAAGCTGTCCTGTTTGCAGTTGTGAGGATAGCTTGATTATTCCCTGCAGGAATAAGCTGAATTTGACCCTGTATGTCTTGTAGACCAGTGGCATTAGATGGATTGATTTGAAGTTGTTGACCTTCTGTTGTCTGAATCTGCGGGATCACTTGGTATTGGACACTACCGCTTGGATTTTGTACTTGAATGACTTGGAATTGTCCGGGGGTTGTTGCAGAAGAGTTGCCCGATTTGGTTTTTGAAGGAGATGCACTTCCATTGTTACTGCTGGAGGGACTTGCTGCACTGGAGGCAACAGAAGATCCTTGTTGAGCAACACTGTTTTCTTTTGAAGCAGAAGGAGCAGCGGCAACAAGCTGCCAAGCATTTCCAGCAAGCTGAGTTGTTACCAATTCTAACTGCTGTGGCTGATTCTGAAGCTGCACCAAACCTTGATTGGGATCTATAATAATCTGCTGCTGTCCAGTTCCTTGATTCTCACCAGGAGTTCCTATTTTGCTGCAAGTCGCTGCTAGCAAAGCGAGAGGCGAAGGTTGGGAATCCTATCCGTAAAGAGAGAAAACAGAACAGATTCAGGAAAAGAGCATAAGTATGAACCATCAGAAGCATTAAGGTTTACACAGGAAGCAGGGGAAAAAAAAAAGTGCTTCTGCATAGAGACCAATGATACAACTCTGAATAAGGAAGTACGTATTTCTGTAAGTAATCTTTAAATATAAAGCCCTTGATTATCAACAAATTTGTGACAGGACCTCAAATGCATGCTCAAGTCAGTCTTTTTTTTTCCCCGCTAGAATAAAGAAAAATTTTAAAAATGCTTCTATTACATGGAAAGCAGCTGATCGCTGCAAAATGCAATCAAAAAAAACATGTCCAGGCAGTAAAAACATTGCACCCAACCAACCATGTTTCATCCAACCCAAAGAAAGATGCCCTGAGCAGGAGATGCTGTTAGCTGAAGATTTCATTTTAAATGCTAATAGTCTGGGCACTTCCCTATTCGTGTGTGTGTGCTTTACCTGTGAGCCTCCAGTTTTCCCTTTTTTATTATTATTGTTGTTATTCTCTGCCTCGGGAGATTTCTCTCCCTCTGTGGGCATAGTTTCCTCCTTCTTTTGATCTGCAAAAATATCAAGTGTAACAGGTTAATTATTCACCTTCATTTATACAATAACAAAACCTACGAGCATATGCGTTTTGGTTCCCAGCTTGTCGCTTTTACCTCTTCATCAAAACAACAGCACAAACCATTATTACAAAAGAACGAGTCCTAAGAAACGTGGTTTGAAACCCAACCCATGGGGGCTGGAGAGTTAACACCCAGAAAGGGGAGGTTTGGTTTCCTCTCCCGGAGACAGCAGGAAAAAACCACCCACAACCCTCCTCCTCCTCCTGCCCCCTAAAGCATCGACGGCCACTG